ACGCGGGTTTCGATTAAGTCGCTTCTTTACTTTTCGAACCATTTCTGCTGATATTTCTGTTTTCTTGCGTGCACTTCCTTGACGTCAGGCCACGCTATCAGTATCACGTTAACGAGAGATGTTACGAGACACTTAAGATTTATTCACATTTAAATGCTGGAGTGCTCTAACGACAGCCACTTGCCAAATATAAGGAAATTACACTATCACGCTTGAACTCCATCACGAATTACTCCTCTTCTGGAAAATTCTCACCAAAACGCTTTTGTAAGCTTGTAAACAATATAATGAGCTGTCATTGGTAAAATTTTAATAGCTGTCGGACGAGTGGCTTAGAAATGACAGCAGTCTGAAATTTGTTGCAATTTTTTTCATCTAATCCTGTAGCCTCAAAAGTTCATAAAATGTGCCGATGTTTAACAGCTGTCTGACGAGTAGCTTTAGACAGTAGTCTGAATTTGGTAGCAATTTTTTTTATCTCACCCTCTGGTCTCAAAAGTTTATAAAATGCACCTATGTTTTTTTAAACTTCACACAATGTAAAACCTTCTGGGAATGATATTCTTCTGCTAGGGCCATTATTCTGAATAGTTTAAACCTTATAACACGCGAAACGAGTCAGTTATTTTAACACCTAAACATTTTTCGATCATCTTAAAAACATCAGGTTCTACCAACTCCATGCACAATTTTGAGAGAGCCTATAAGCCCATTTGGTAGGTGTTAAGAGGGATAATGTAGTGTATGACGTCTGCCATAAAATATTAGAATAATTCGCCCTTAATGTGTGCAAAGAGTACACAAAAGGCCGAATGTAGCTAACATTTAGAATTATGAACATTATTTGTGTGGAGGTTTGAGGCAGGGAGAGGTTTTTTTTTATGAAATAATATAGCAGGTGTCAAAAATGTACTTAAAAGTGGTTACCTTTGCAATGAAATAAGAAGAGTACTGTTTGCCTACGGCAAAGCCAGTACCAAGGCGTTTATAAATATTTCTGCGAGATTCACTAAGATCTTTAGCACGCCAATAATCAGGATCAGGATCTAGCGTTTATAAATATTTCTGCGAGATTCGCTACGATCTTTAAAACGCCAGTCATCAGGGTCTAGCGTTATATGAGGCTGATCCAAAACTTGGACTTGTTTTGATCATTTTCATTTGTAGATTTTAAGGAAAAGCATTTCACAATATGGTGTCTGGAATGTCTTAGAACTTGTTGGTAGATGTTCTACATTCGTAAGACAATCCAGTCACCTGACAGTCACCGAAAATATTTAAATTTCCCATTGTTACGCTAATATTGCCATCAAATTATAAATATTACAATAGCACCAAAAATAGGTGAACATATATTTGGAGTAATGAGATCCAGATTTATTTCGATTTCACAAAAAACCTTTTTACCAAATTAAAAAAAAATAAATATTGAAACACCTCCCCCCACACACACACACTTCAATATGCCACGAATATTTGATTTGCCAATGGCAATACTTTGATTTGCTTGTTTTCGGAATATTTTTGGGAAGAATGCCCGTTACATACCCGTATTTTCCGTAAATGTATTTAATTTTTAATTTCTATTTCTCGGTCATGTCCAAATGCTGAAGCTCATTTCAATGTTGACATAATCCATTATAGAAACAGTGTTCCGGACAATAATGAGATAAAACCACATTTAAACACATAACCACTGACAGGGTTACGAACAGAATTACCAACACCACCACCACCAGCACCACCGACCGACCAACCGACAGACAACATCAGTGGTTATATCAATTTTGTTCTAATACTTAAATGAACATTTGTTTTGTTTGGTTCAATGGAAAAAAGGCGACGTGACACGTGTGTTGGGGTGTGTGTGTGTGTTTATTTGTGTGAAGGTATTATAGAAAAAGTGTGGAAAAATGTAATGGCAAACAGATATGATAAAGGGTTATTTTTGAGGGGTGATGAATGAAATTTGGAACGCCAATTTGTTTTTAAAAATATAAAAAAATGAGCACTGTATGTCCCTTAGAATTATTTGATTTTAAGGAAATCCACTACAAAGTATTTACAATACAATTCCCGCTTTCTAATCCACGAAATTGAATTTTTATAAAGTATTCTTATTTTAAAAAGAATTATCGATCATGGGCCCTAGAAAATATTTGAACACCTACTTATATTAACATTACTTCTTAAATTTAATTTGTATACAAATGTGAAGATTTTAACTGTATCCCTTCACAAAATACCACAAGTACTTTTAGTAGAATTATGATCCGAATTTCAAAAAACTCAGCTTTACCTCACCTGACCACTAACATTGACCCACATTCAAAATGTCAAGAGACTAACATCAACTGTTTCTCCTCGGCGTTGATTATATTTATACTCTCAGCCCTCATCTTATACCTCATCGAAATAATGGTTTTCAGACCCTAGGTCTCATGTGACCAAATTCATTTAAGAATATTAGGAGTCAATCTAGAGGTGTCCGACCATCTGTGTGTCGGTATGACTGGTGCGTATGTTATAGTATCCGTTTTGGTCCAATCTTAGCACATCGTAATATTGTTAGCAAGGGGTAGATGGGCAGTATTGGTCCACTCCTTCTGATACTGCCCCCACAAAAGGTCAGAATTTTCAAAGAAAATAATTTACCTCATAGAAAGAGAAAGGATAATTCGATTTGGTGCAAACTTTGCAGATCCTAATATTTTGGCCAGTCCTAGGTCAGGTGAGAAAATGTCGTCCCACTCCATCAAGTACCACACCACACCCCACACCCCCCTACAAAGGGTCAACATTATCTCATATAAAATGCGAATAAGCATCCCTCAACCTTATGGATGAAAAAAGAATCATCGAAATATCAGTCTTAGACGATAGGTGGGCCAAATCCATTTCCGGAAATTTTGAGTTGGTCTAGCGATTGAGTATCCCATTTGCTCCAAACTTGGTACATCGCAATATTATCAAACTTAGATCGAATTCGAAATAAACAGAAAGAGAACGGATATTCCGATTTTGCTCCAACTTTGCATATTCGAATATTTACACTAGTGCTAGGTCAAGAGGGAAAATGGACAATTTCGGTCCACTCCGTCAAGTACCTCCCCCACAAAGGATCACAATATTTCTATTAACCCAAGGTCTGGTGTGAAGATTGAATATATCGGTCCACTCCTTCTGGTACCTCAACCAAAAAGGGTCAAAATTTTGAATATCCATGAAACTGATAAAACGCGAAGTTAACATCCGATTCCATTCAGACTTAGCACATCTCCATATTTCTATCAGCGCAAGACCATTTACGAAGGCGGTAGAGATCGAACCATTTCTTCTGGTACCTTCCCCACAAAGGGCCAAAACAGTTATAAAATCCGAAATAAGCTTCCGATTCTTTTCATGTTTCAGACATCACAATATCTATATATTTTTTTATCAAAGGTCTGGTGTAAAAATGGGGTAAATCGGTCCACTCCTTCTGGTAACGGTTTAATATTTTGAATATCCGGAAGCTCATAAAACCCCAAAATTAAAATCGGATTCCTTTCAGACTTGGTACATCTTACTATCTTCAACAACAAAAAATCTGTTATAAAGATGTTAGAGATCGGACCATTCCTTTTGCTTCCTGTCCACATAGGGTTCAAGATTTTGAAAAACAAAACGCTCGAAGAAGGCGAAATAAGCATCCAAATCTCTTCAAATTTCACACACAAACATTTTTGCTCAGACACGATCTGTTGTGGAGATGATATACAGGGTGAGATAAAAAAAACTGCAACAATGTCAAACTCCACCTTATTTTTAATTGAAAGCAAAAAATGTCGGAAATAGCATCAAATTTTAATATAAGTTTAGATTTGTTCGATTTGGTCACCTTTGACACGAATTATGATCTTCAAACGGCCAATGAAACCGTCACACGCTGCTCAAAATGTTGCTCTGCGGTATTTTGGTCCATTCCGGCCGAAGCGCATGCGTGAGTTGATCGACACTTTGGTATTTTTCAGTTCCAACCATGCTCCCAAAATACTCCAGACACAATAGTTCAACGCATTGGTATCCCGAGATTTTGGTGACCATTGTGCGCTGTAAATGAAGCGAGGAACCTCAATTTGTAACCAAGGCTTTAATACACCCTCCAGAATATTTTCGCGATCATATTCGGCATTTATTCTGATGCCACGGTCGATTAATATGAGCGGAGAGCGACCATCGGCTGTTATGACGGCCCACACCATCACCATGACCGGCGCTTGAGTTCTGGTGGCCAACCGAAAGTGCGAAACATTTCTACTGATGTCTCTGTTTTCTTCCGTAGAGTTCTTGACATCGGGCTACGCAGTCTGAAGTTGGTTGCAGTTTTGTTCATCTCGCCCTGTACAAACATTTTGGCTATTACAAGATCTGTTGTGAAATTGGTATATACCTGCGTACTCCTTCTGGTACTTCACACACAAATGGACATAATTTTCAATACCTTCAGCTGTTATAACTTGCGAAACAAGTCAGCGATTCTTTACAATTTGCTACAACTAAAAATTTTTTCTTCACCAGATACCTGAGATAAATATGGACATTTTTTACTTTGCCGATTTTTGTCTGTATTAGTTGAAGAATAAAAATGTAATACTTCGGTAGGCTAAATCTGGTACCAGACGCCTATTTTAACATTCTTAAACATGTTTAAATAATCGAACATAGGCTGAGGCTATACGACCTCCGACTGCTACTTTTTAACTTGTTCTAAAAATATTGTATGAAATCGCATATGGTTTCCTCAAATATCTCCTCGATTAGATTAGAAATCATTACACATCTATACATACCATACAATTTTTATATATCCATCCCCGATAACCCTATTTTCGCACTTCCATTTATCTATTTATCTATCAATGTTCATGTATATTTATTTGCATGCAAAATCTGTGTCTCCATACGTATGTATGTATGTGTACGAATATTCTAACAACAAACGTGTTTGTTGTTTACAGTTACACCATTGGCCGGACCACAAATTACTGGCGGTAAACCACGTTATCAAATTGGCGATCTGGTGAGCGTAAATTGTACATCAGCACCATCAAAACCCATCTGTCATCTAAGTTGGTTGATTAACGGTAACCATGCGAATCGTTCGTTCCTGCGCTATTACGAGCCGAAAGTTGTCGGACGTGAGGGTCTGGAAGTGGCCACACTGGGATTGGAGTTTCGTGTACGTGGGTGACATTTTAAGCATGGCGACATGAAGCTAAAGGTGAGTTAATTTTAATTTAATTAAAACACAAAAACCGAAAAACCCCTATCCATGGCAAATATCGGTAGGAACAAAAAAAAAAAAATATCTATGACATGCCGGTGAGCGAGAGAATGTGTTGGTGTATGTGTGTGTCGTGGAAATAAACACCACTTCAAACAAATCACGTCGATGTTATGTGTGTGTGTGTTTAGGTTTCGGTTTTTCGGAAAACTCAGCAAGATGTGTTGTGTGGAATATCTAAAGGGGATAGCAAGTACCAACAAAATAAAGGTATTGTCGCTTTACCAGCTTCTATTTACACTCTGTGGGATAACAACACCACGAACACCGCACCAACAACAAAATCAAATAGTGAAACATTGCTTTTCACTGTTGTTAATATTTAAACAATTGCTGTTGATTCCATTGTTATTCCAGGATATTGTTACTTCATCATCAGCTATGTGAGGGAGAGAGAGAGATTGGGTGTGTATGTGTTCGTGTGCTAACACACACTCGCCAACAAAGTGTTGAGTTTGCTAAGGTTCGTTCGTTGCCATGAAGTTTTTTTTCCTTCCTCATTCAATTTAATGTTTGCTTGGTTAACCCAATGTTATAAAACTTTTTAAACGTGTTCCAATACCTGGGCAGTGCGCGAAATTTATTTTATCGTTGCGGATGCAAACATGGGTGTACACCGTGGCGTATTATTTAATAAAAGTTGGTTGTTATGTTAATTATACGACAGCTAGCATAAATTTCTAAAATGAATTCTAATAAAAGGAAAAGTTCGAATCGCCAATCGTTCCTTACGAAATATTCAAACCATTTTTAGACTTAAAAAAAATAAAATATTACTCTGTATAAATAAGTGAAACTCATTTATTTTATTTTTATATTATACTCCGTTAAACTGAAAATAGTTAACAAGTTGCATAAATGCAAAAAATATGGGGACATACTAATTTTTTATTGATGGAATTTAGCTTCTAGAGAACCCCTCTTAGAAGTGATCTATATGTAATATACATTTTTACAAGTATTAGGTGTTTATATGTTAGCCTTCAAATCAGAAAGCAAAAATCGTTGTGAAAATTTAGATACATATTGATAATATCTTGTTGAGAGCCAAAATATCACATTTCGGCGGATTGGGACAAATATAAGGGTAAAACTATAAAAGCTTTGTAAACTGTGACGAAATATGTCTCTGACTATTGAAGTCGCATTTGTGTATGGCTAAACCGGTATATAACAAGTAAACAACGAAAAGAATTATACAAGGACTACTAGAGCTCTAAGTTTGGATTTTTTTTAATCAATTTTTCAAGGACTTTCAGAAATATAAACGTAGATTTTTGAATTAATTTTTAAGGACTATAAGTGCTCTAAGCGTGGATTTTTAAAATATTTTTTTTTCAAGAACTATCAGAGCTCATAGCGATGATTTTTTAAAAGAAATTCTCAAGGACTATCAGACTTTAAGCCCGGATTTTTTAAAATATTTTTTTCAAGGACTATCAGAACTCCAGGACTGAATTTTTAAAAAGATTTTTTTTCAAGGACTATCAGAGCTCTAAAATAATTTTTCCAAGACTATCAGAGCTTTAAGCCTTAATTTTCTAAAATAATAATAGCCATAATCTTGGATGTTTTTTAATATATTTTTTTCAAGGATTATCTGAGCTCCACGCGTGGATTTATTAAATATGTTTTTTCAAAGACCATCAGAGCTATAAGCGTGGATTTTTAAAAGAATTTTTCAAAGACTATCAGATTTCTAAACGTGGACTTTTTAAAAGAATTTTTCAAGGACTATCAGACTTCTAAACTTGGACTTTTTAAAATATTTTTTTAAGGACTATCAGACTTCTAAACTTGGACTTTTTAAAATATTTTTTTCAAGGACTATAATAACTTTTTTGTGAAGAGAAATATATGCTAAAATGTTAAATTGTAGAGGAATTGCATGAGGCCACGGCCTAAGGCTGGGCAGAAGCCTTCCAATGTGGATGGTCATGGGGTAATATTTAGTGGGTGAAATAGACCATAACATTTGGGTTAAGTAAAAGTCAGATTTTCCATTAAAGCGGGAATATTTTTAATCTCGGCGAAATCACAAATATACAGAAAGGTACGTAGATGCCGATAGTAATTACGTTGGATATATATAGCGAACAATGTGTATATACAAAGGAGGATGGTTATACCTCAAGAATAGCTGGACCGATTTTGACAAATTTTCTCAATTCAGAAGCCCTCTTGGCATCAAAGAATAAAATCTAAAAAAATCGCATAAAAAGATGCCAATAATGATCAATATAAATTTTGTAACTTTTTTCTTAGTTTTTATCGCATGCGATTTTTTCAATTTGACTTTAAATATTGAAGTGTACACTTTACAATATTTGTTCACTTTACAACACAGGTTGGATAGATTACAATTATCGTCTGATCCTAAGGAAAATTTTCATAAGGGTGGGGTTGGGCTAGGCCTATTGTTTTTAAAGATGTTTGCAATATATTTAGGGTCTATAATGGACAAACAACTAAAAATGTTCCTGATTTTGCAGACATTATAAAGGTCACAAATAGAAGCCAAAGGACACGAAATCTGGCATGAAGTCAGAGTTTAGGACAGCGGGTAAAATGTACCACAATTTGTGTGTGAAAAAAATACCAACATTTACATTCAACCGAAACGGTGAAAATAACTTACAGAAAATTTTCAAAATACACAAATTGCAAACTTCTGGATTCTTTATGCTGATTTCGTTGACGAAGAAAATCATATAAATTTGGAGATACAGATATTTAGCGGTCCAAATGAACCAAAAACAGAAACATGTTCCTGATCACAAAATTGAAACCAATCGACATGGAATTTTGCATGAGAAGAGAGTTAAGGACAGGAAAGAAGTCTAGCATTTTGGATGATCATTGGATTATATTTAGCTGCAGCACGACGGAGTTCGTAACTATTGGGTCCCTGGTCAAAAAGCTAAGGGTAATATCTGGGCAGTGCTCTACGGCTTAATTTCAAGAGCGAAGTCTTCCAAAATGGATTTAGATATAAGTGGACTTCTACCGACGACAAAAGCCTATGCTTACTTGTTTTTTTTTTTTTTTTTCATAGAGTTAGATAAATGAATTTTCCCAGGAATTAACTCTAATTTTAAAGGAATTAACTCTGTTGAATGTTTGCGTCCAGGTGATATTGTGTTTTTTCCAGAAATATTTTTTTAAGATATTTGAAGATTACTATATGGGATTTATTATTATTATTATTTTTTTTTTTTTTTTAATTGGGCAATGGAATGAAAAAAGTGAATTTCATATATCAGCTAATATATGACCAAATTATGGCAATTTTCAAAATATACAAAAAGAAAAAAAATATATGTTTTTTTTTCGCAAATTAAATTTTTTATCTTTAATCTTGCTTTTTAAATTAAGAATATTTCATTCCCTACATTTTCCGAATGGCATTTAACACGTAATTAACATACTGCTTATAATTTATTCTACATACAGCCTTTGCATTACATTTGCCTATATGGCGTATGAGTCACATAATATAACATCAAAATAACCATCATACGCCACGATGGGCTAATGCAAACAATACCCATATAGGACTGAGCACATTAATAATTACCCTGTTAAATAACAATAAATTGTTGTTTATTAGAATATTAAATTTATCAAAAACTTCAATATTACCACGAAAACACACACTCGCACTGACCCATTATTTCACCCAAAACGCCACACTTCACAATTGATCTTTTCCATGGATAAAACGCCGATGAATTACTCGGAAACCAAAAACCCACGGATATAGAAAATTGTTAAACTGCGTTTAGAACAATGTGCGGTAGAGGCCGCGGCATGGACATCAGCAATACCACCAATTTCGACAGTGTTTGCTAACCAGCTAGCTATTCTCCTCCTTCCAAAACCCTATATGGTCATCTGGCATTCGTGTGTTGTCGTTGTTGTTTTTGTTGGATAGAAAACTGTTTACATGTTGTATTTCGTGCTATAGTAGTCTGTTCACACATCAGACCACCATAATAAAAACAATGCTTTGAAAAGCAACAACCACCATCTGTGCGTGCGTGTGCTTTGTTGAACGTTGTTACATACAAACGTATAGATGTCGGTGTATGTATATGGCTATTCAATACTGTCGTGGCTAATGTTAAGTGTATTTTTATTTACATATAATCGTTTATGTATGCATACGTGCGTGCGTGCCTTGCAGGTATTTATGTTTGTAACATCTTTTGCCAACACTAGCCCCACATTCCCATCAACGTCGCCACCTCGACCAGAACACTACCATTTACCTATGGCATGGAACTGTCATCGTAGTGGGAATTATAAATGTGTGTTGAATATTCGCTCATCTGTGTTACAACATGTGAGAATATGTATGTATGTGTGTGAAAGTGTGAGTGTCTAAATGGTAAGTGTGCGTTTAGTATCGTTGATGCCATGCATTTTGTGTATGTGTGTGTGTTCTGTGTATTGGTAATTCTAAACCATTTTGGGACACATTAGCTTGACGTGATCTCACGAACACTTTTACAATTTTCCGGTCGTATTTAATTAGCTGGACTTGGATGTGAAGGAAGGAATACCTGAACGTGGAAATTATGTTGAATTCATTAACACTTGAAAATATAATGGCGTTGATTTCCCATGGAACGATAGCCTGATATTTATATGGTGGTGGTATTTTTTTGCGAAAAGTAAAATGAGGTGTATTGGAATAATTATGACTGCTTCTACGGGAGAATATGTATTCATATTGATTATCCGCTAACCCATTTATGTGTATAATTTACTCACATGGCTTAAACTCGCTTTGAAATATGTATTATTTCTGCGATAGAGTTGAAAGTGTGGAAACTGAAAGAATTAATGGAGATTTAGGAATAAATTATGACCATCCGTTCATATTAATTTGTAATCACGCTACAGGTCGCAAGTATGGACGATCCCAAGCCTATTGTTTTTGGAGATTATCGCAAAAAAATCCTAATTCTGCAGTTCTTGTGCAGGTCTCTATTATAGACCAATCCGCGGAATTTTGAATGGAGTTAGAGTTTAATACTAGGCAAAAGTCTACTACAATTCGGATGGTCATGGTTGAATGAAGTAATAGTTTAGTGCTTGGCAAAAGTCTACTAATTCAGATGGTCTTTTATATAAATATATACGAAAATTTCCACTAAACCGGGACTATTTTTTCTTCCTGGCGAAATCACAAATCCGCTTATAAGTCCAGAGTGGATGGACTGATTTTGACAATTCTCACCATTTCGGAATATCTTCCTGCCAAAAAAGAATAAAATCTAAGAAAATCGTGCAAAAATATGACCATAATGAAGTGAAAATATTTTATACCCTACAAAACATGGAGAACGAAGCGAGATAGACCAATAATTACTTTTGAGGATCTTCATAGAATCACTTTCTGAATCGATTTATTCGATTTATCGAATTTCAGTCCGTAAGGTCGCATTTTCTATCAGATTGAGATGAAAATTTGCAGACAATACAGGATGAGATAAAAAAACTGCAACAAAGTCAAATGCCATAATTTTTATATATTTTTTAATTTCATTGAATGAAAGCAAAACGTGTCAAGAATAGCATAACATTTTTGAATAAGTTTAGATTTGTTCGAATTGGTCAACTTTCGCACGAATTATGGCCTTCAAACGGCAAATGGAACCGTCACATGCTGCCCGAATGTTGCTCTGCGATATTTTGACACATTCCCGGCGAAGCGCTTTTCAAAATACTTCAGACGCAATAGTCCAACGGATTGGTAACCGAAGATTTTGGCGGCCCTTGTGCGCTGGAAATGAAATTCTTGGGTGACGCGTGCTGAGTGCGATGGTGCTGAGTCCTGTTGGAATGTCCAAGGTCTGCGACCAAAATTTTTGCGTGCCCAAGGCTTTAATACACTCTTCAGCCACGGCATTTATTCTGATGCCACGGTCGATTAATACGAGCGGAGAGCGACCATCGGCTGTTATGGCAGCCCACACTATCACCATGGCCGGCTCTTGAGTTTTGGTGGCCAACCGAAGGTGCACATTTTCAGCTGACCTCTTTGGCAAGTAAACACGATCATTTTCTTTGTTTACAAACTGATGGACAACGAATGTTTTCTCATCGGAGAAACCCAAATTCGACAGTTCACCCTTTCGGCTAAGCGAAGCAACTCTTTAGCTCTTTTGAGTCTATTTTCTTTCCGTTGCGGTGTAAGTCCTTGCACTTTTTGGGATTGGGATGCATTTACCCTGATCTCATTTTTCAATATTTGCCGAATGGAATATAACTATATATTCAGCACACAAGTCATTTTTAAGCCAATGCGACGCGGATTCCGATCAAGTCGCTTCTTTACTTTTCGAACCATTTCTGCTGATATTGCTGTTTTCTTCCGCTTACTTCTTTGATATCCAAATGTGGTTTTCCAGCCAAATATAAAGAAATCACACTATCACGCTTGAATTCCACCACGAAGAACTTTTTTTCTGGAAAATTCTCAACAAAATGCTTTTGTACGCTTTTAAACAATATAATGAACTGGAATTATTTTTTTATTTAACAGCTGTCGGACGGGTGACTTAGAGATGTTGGTTGCAGTTTTTTCATCTCACCCTTTATATGGTATAAGTAATATATGACTAAGTTCCCTGCTCTAAAAATATGTAATACCGTTATTATGTCAAAACCGGGGTTTAATTAGGTATCTACTACATTTGATATTTTTGCAAGGAACATAAGTTCCCGATAAGACGTAAAGAGTCTGTTGATTAATTTTAGTTCAGATATCACCCTTTCTCTGATCGGTTTAATAAACAATTTTTATGGAATCTTTTAAATTAATCCGCATCATTTACACAACTTAAATTAATCAATGGAGCGATTTAAGATTTCTTCATTTAAATTCGCCTTGTTAGCATTCCAATCTCTCCAAAATTTTGTCTAATCTAGAATTTGTAGTTTCGTGGTCAACAAAATCGTAATCCATATTTTCCCACTCTCATTGATCAACATTTCTCATATCATTCTCAAACCATTAAAAAAGTCATTCATAACATTCGCCCCTTCATTGTCTCTCTTATTATTGTAAAATATCTAATTTTTCATTACAGTGTGTCGCCAAAATTTCTTCCGTCTATTGGCAGAGTAACGAGGAAAGTGTTGAAAGTGATAAGCATCAGAGAATACCAGTATTAGAGTCCAGGGAAACAGTTGTTCCGAAATCCAGATTATTGGATAAATCAGTAGAAGGTAAGCGAAAGAAAAAGAATTAAAATAATAATATAATAAAAAACAAGTAAAAAAGCAGTAAGTTCGGCCGGGCCGAACTTTGAATACCCTCCACCATTTGGAACGAATTAGAAAATTTTCAAAAAAATAAAATCCAATAAAAATTCTTTTAAAATCCTTAAAATATCTAATATAGGAAGGTGCCGATATATGGGGGGATATACGATATTGTGGACCTATATAAATAATTCTCTGCCGAGGTATAAAGTACCCACAAGGAACTCCTTGTGTGGATTTTCAGACAATTCCGTTGAAAAATGTGGGTAAAATCATCAAAATACCGAATATCGGGGGGTACCGTTACATGGGGGCTATACGATATCGTGGACCTATATGGACAATTCTCTGCCGAGGTATAAAGTACCCACAAGGAACTTCGTGTGTGGATTTTCAGACAATATGATTGGAAAATGTGGCTAAAATCATCAAAATACCGAATATCGCGGGGTACCGTTATATGGGAGCTATACGTTATCGTTAACCTATATAGAGAATTCTCTGTCGGTGGGAAAGTGCTCACAAAGAACCCCTTGTGTACAAAGAACCCCTTGTGACCATTCCGTTGAAACATATGGCTAAAAACATCAAAATACCGAATATCGGGGGTACCGTTATATGAGGGCTATATCTATATAGATAATTCTCCGCCGAGGTATAAAGTACCCACAAGGAACTCCTTGTGTGGATTTTCAGACAATTCCGATGAAAAATGTGGGTCAAATCATAAAATACCGAATATCGGGAGGTACCGTTATATGGGGGATATACGATATCGTGGTCCTGTGTAGACAATTCTCTCTCAGGGGGTGAAGTACTCACAAGGAACTACTTGTGTTGATTTTAAGACAATTCCATCGAAAAGCGTGGCTAACATCATCAAAATACCGAATATCGGAGGTTACAGTTATATGGAGGATATACGATATCGTGGACCTACATAGACACTTCATTTTGAGGAGGTAAAATGCCCACAAGGGACTCCTTTTGTGGATTTTCAGACAATTCCGTTGAAAAATGTGGCTAAAATCATGAAAATACCGAATACCGTGGGGGTACCGTTATATGGGGGCTATACGATATTGTGGACCTATATAAATAATTCTCTGCCGAGGTATAAAGTACCCACAAGGAACTCCTTGTGTGGATTTTCAGACAATTCCGATGAAAAATGTGGGTAAAATCATCAAAATACCGAATATCAGGGGGGTACCGTTACATCGGGGCTATACGATATCGTGGAGCTATATGGACAATTCTCTGCCGAGGTATAAAGTACCCACAAGGAACTCCTTGTGTGGATTTTCAGAAAATTCCGTTCAAAAATGTGGGTAAAATCTTCTAAATACCGAATATCGGGGGTACCGTTATATGGGGGCTATACGATATTGTGGACCTATATAAATAATTCTCTGCCGAGGTATAAAGTACCCACAAGGAACTCCTTGTGTGGATTTTCAGAAAATTCCGTTCAAAAATGTGGGTAAAATCTTCTAAATACCGAATATCGGGGGTACCGTTATATGGGGGCTATACGATATTGTGGACCTATATAAATAATTCTCTGCCGAGGTATAAAGTACCCACAAGGAACTCCTTGTGTGGATTTTCAGACAATTCCGATGAAAAATGTGGGTAAAATCATCAAAATACCGAATATCAGGGGGGTACCGTTACATCGGGGCTATACGATATCGTGGAGCTATATGGACAATTCTCTGCCGAGGTATAAAGTACCCACAAGGAACTCCTTGTGTGGATTTTCAGACAATTCCGTTGAAAAATGTGGGTAAAATCATCAAAATACCGAATATCGGGGGGTACCGTTACATGGGGGCTATACGATATCGTGGACCTATATGGACAATTCTCTGCCGAGGTATAAAGTACCCACAAGGAACTTCGTGTGTGGATTTTCAGACAATATGATTGGAAAATGTGGCTAAAATCATCAAAATACCGAATATCGCGGGGTACCGTTATATGGGAGCTATACGTTATCGTTAACATATATAGAGAATTCTCTGTCGGTGGGAAAGTGCTCACAAAGAACCCCTTGTGTACAAAGAACCCCTTGTGACCATTCCGTTGAAACATATGGCTAAAAACATCAAAATACCGAATATCGGGGGTACCGTTATATGAGGGCTATATCTATATAGATAATTCTCCGCCGAGGTATAAAGTACCCACAAGGAACTCCTTGTGTGGATTTTCAGACAATTCCGATGAAAAATGTGGGTCAAATCATAAAATACCGAATATCGGGAGGTACCGTTATATGGGGGATATACGATATCGTGGTCCTGTGTAGACAATTCTCTCTCAGGGGGTGAAGTACTCACAAGGAACTACTTGTGTTGATTTTAAGACAATTCCATCGAAAAGCGTGGCTAACATCATCAAAATACCGAATATCGGAGGTTACAGTTATATGGAGGATATACGATATCGTGGACCTACATAGACACTTCATTTTGAGGAGGTAAAATGCCCACAAGGGACTCCTTTTGTGGATTTTCAGACAATTCCGTTGAAAAATGTGGCTAAAATCATGAAAATACCGAATACCGTGGGGGTACCGTTATATGGGGGCTATACGATATTGTGGACCTATATAGATAATTCTCTGCCGAGGTATAAAGTACCCACAAGGAACTCCTTGTGTGGATTTTCAGAAAATTCCGTTCAAAAATGTGGGTAAAATCTTCAAAATACCGAATATCGGGGGTACCGTTATATGGGGGCTATACGATATTGTGGACCTATATAAATAATTCTCTGCCGAGGTATAAAGTACCCACAAGGAACTCCTTGTGTGGATTTTCAGACAATTCCGTTGAAAAATGTGGGTAAAATCATCAAAATACCGAATATCAGGGGGGTACCGTTACATCGGGGCTATACGATATCGTGGAGCTATATGGACAATTCTCTGCCGAGGTATAAAGTACCCACAAGGAACTCCTTGTGTGGATTTTCAGACAATTCCGTTGAAAAATGTGGGTAAAATCATCAAAATACCGAATATCGGGGGGTACCGTTACATGGGGGCTATACGATATCGTGGACCTATATGGACAATTCTCTGCCGAGGTATAAAGTACCCACAAGGAACTCCTTGTGTGGATTTTCAGACAATTCCGTTGAAAATGTGGGTAAAATCATCAAAACACCGAATATCGGGGGGTACCGTTACATTGGGGCTATACGATATCGTGGACCTATATAGATAATTCTCTGCCGAGGTATAAAGTACCCACAAGAAACTCCTTGTGTGGATTTTCAGACAATTCCGTTCAAAAATGTGGGTAAAATCATCAAAATACCGAATATCGGGGGGTACCGTTATATGGGGGCTATACGATATCGTGGACCGATATAGCCCATCTTCGAACTTGACCTGCCTGCAGACAAAAGAGAGATCTGTGCAAAATTTTAGCTTCCTATCTTAATTCGTTTAGACTGTAGCGTGATTACAGCAGACGGACAGACGGACGGACAGGGCTAAATCGTCTTAGAATGTTACCCTGATCAAGAATATATATACTTTGTTGGGTCTAAAATGATTATTTCGATGAGTTACAAACGGAATGACAAAGTTAATATACCCTCTATACCTTTTTTGGTGGAGGGTATAAAAATATAAATGAAAAATTATATAAAAGTATATGATGAAAATAATATCAAGAAATAAATAATAATAATAACAATAATAATAATAATAATAATAATAATAATAATAATAATAATAATAATAATAATAATAATAATAATAATAATAATAATAATAATAATAATAATAATAATAATAATAATAATAATAATAATAATAATAATAATAATAATAATAATAATAATAATAATAATAATAATAATAATAATAATAATAATATAATAATAATAATAATAATAATAATAAAATAATAATAATAATAATAATAATAATAATAATAATAATAATAATAATAATAATAATATAATAATAATAATATAATAATAATAATAATAATAATAATAATAATAATAATAATAATAATAATAATAATAATAATAATAATAATAATAATAATAATAATAATAATAATAATAATAATAATAATAATAATAATAATAATAATAATAATAATAATAATAATAATAATAATAATAATAATAATAATAATAATATAATAATAATAATAATAATAATAATAATAATAATAATAATAATAATAATAATAATAATAATAATAATAATAATAATAATAGTAATAATAATAATAATAATAATATAATAATAATAATAATAATAATAATAATAATAATAATAATAATATAATAATAATAATAATAATAATAATAATAATAATAATAATAATAATAATAATAATAATAATAATAATAATAATAATAATAATAATAATAATAATAATAATAATAATAATAATAATAATAATAATAATAATAATAATAATAATAATAATAATAATAATAGCAATTAATACAATAATTAGAATGAAAATAAAAATAAGAATAACTGCTCTTTTCAATCCTAAATATCCGTCAATTAACAAAAGAATTAAACCTTTATCAAATGTTTTTTAACAACTTAAACTCAATTTATATCGAATATTTTGTCTCTTTTTATTTATTTTCAGAAACCCCAAAAGGTGCCACAGTAACTTCCCCAAATTCAGCATCAATTGCATGTTCATCTGCCCCTCTCAGCATTCTATTACTATTAACAGTCCAGCTTGTGACCAGATTCGGTTTAAGCCATAGTTAACAAATTTGTAAACAATTTGTCTAATTTTTAAAATATTAAATTACATTGTAAATAGAAATCGTAAATGAGTTTTCCATAAAAAAATCTGGGACATTGCAGAGAAGTATGGCTTCAAACCAACAAAATTTTAACTTGTATTAAAAAATTCAGTTATAACCCTTAAAATTATTATAGTGTACTAAATGAATTATAATTGGTAAAGGATCTTAAGTGTAGACTGTGTTAAAATATTTTTTTTTTTTAATTAAAAGGTGGATAGCAAAGTTTTCCTTGACCTCCGTTCAAGGATTTTGAAACTAAATATGTGGACAATTTGTTAAGGCTGTTAGAAATCTAAATGTGAAATTTTAAGAAGCTTTTAGACATTTTTGAGTTTGTATTCAAATCAAAATTTTTGTATAGCCCCTACATACATCTAACAATATTCGGTATTTTGATAATTTCAGCAAAATTATTTGCAGAATTATTTCAACTTTCGTATTTGAAGTTCGTATTGGGTAATACAGCTTATGACAAAAATTGTTGTTAGCAGGCCCACGTCTTCGTATAGCCCATATATAACGGTAGCCCCCGATATTCGGTATTTTGATGATTTCAGCCAAATTATTCACCGGAATCGTTTCAAATTTCGTATTGGGAGGTCTTAATGGTTACTACAACCTGTGGAAAAAAATTTCGTATGCAGGTCTACCTCTTCGTATAGCCCCTATATAACGGTACCTCCCGATATTCGGTATTTTCATGATTTTAGCGAAATTATTTACCGAAATTATTTCAACTTTCGTATTTGAAGTTCGAGATGGGTGCAACAGACAAGTTTCGTATTTAAAGTTCGTAATGGGTACTACAGCCTATGAGAAAAAATCGTATGTGAATATTGTAATGGCTTATGACAAAAGTCGCCTATACAGGCCCACGTCGGCTATATTCGGTATATTTAAGATTTTAACAAAAATTTTAACGGATTTTATTTATTGATTTATTTATTTTTTTAATTGCCAAATTCATTCCAAATGCTGGAGGGTATTCAAAGATCGGCCCTGCCGAACTTACAGCTTTTTTACTTGTTTATGCTGATTTCGTTGACGAATAAAGCCAAATATCCTAGACAAGCACATTTGGGGAGGGGCCTCTTGCATTTGGAAATGATCCCAAAATATTTAGGGGTTCAAATGAATAAACAACAGAAAAAAATCCTGATCTCACAATTTAAACTAATCGTCAGGAAGTTTGCATGAGAAGAGAGTTAGGGACATGGAAAATGTCGAGCATTTTGGATGACCATTGGACTATATTTAACAACAACAACAACAACTAACAGAGAGTCCCTGGTCAAAATCCTAAGGGTATTATCTGGGCAGTGCTTCATGACGTTATATCAAAGGCGAAATCTTCCAAAATGGATTTGGACATAAGGGAGTTTCTACCCTTTATTGTAGTGTTGTAGGCTATCAAATGATTGACCGCGCACGACTATAGCCTTTGCTTACAAAAGAGTATTTTATAGAATAATATTATAACTGCATATTTAACAGACTTTTACTGATGGAAAATATTAACTTGGTCCTTTTAAATTAAAGTTTATTTTAAAGTACAAAGTAGAAAGTAGGAAGATTATCCATGTTTTCATTATTTAAAAAATTGTTTGACTTTTTATAAATTTTTCCTTTGATGAGCTTACCAAACAATTTTCATCATATTCATACTCTATTTATCATTCATTGAAATATATTGACGCCCCATTATCCTAGTGATGTTCTGTCCAAAAATTTAATTACAGAAAACATTAGGAATTTTCCTTTATGTTATTTGCTCCATTATCAATCAATGGAAATCATATGGAAGCCATACAAATCTCTGCATCGGTAATCACCCACTCGAAATAAGTAAAATAGTCATTTTGTGTTAGAAATGCAGTCGAACATGGCTATAAATAATTACGGATTCTTTAATTTATCATTTTAATGCAAATTTTCAATATCTTGATTTAATTTTTCTTTTAAACAATACCATCCTTTATAACCATGTTCGACTGTACCTAAATCTATAGACCCGAAGTAACTACACCACACAAAAGAAAACAACATAAACTATCTTGTCGCAAAGATATTTTTTGAGAACTTCTATTACTAAACGCATGCGAAGAATGTAACAAAAATATGCATTCGACGACACAAAGAACCGTAACAACAAAGAATTCTAGGAAAAAAATACTTTAGATAATAACTACAAAACACACAAAATGTCATTCAGATGAATGAAAACATTTTATAAATAGTAAATTTTAAGCTTTAAATATGATATAAGATAAAGAAGACGAAGAAGCAAAAGGAGAAACCATAAAATCGAAACATAAAAATTCATGGAAAAATTACAACAAGAGCAAAAGAAAACCTGTCAAGTTATTTAGGCTAATATTAGAATATTCTAACTCAATGACCGGTAAGATACACACACTCATACACACAATGGAAATAAGAATGCCAGCCAAGAGAATAAACTGGTTCCTAGAAAGTAAATTACAAATAATAATAAAAAAATAGTTTTTAATTCTTAAGACACTGAAGAGTCATGGAATGGAACAATGGGTATAGGGAAGTATCCTGATGTATATCAAACACCACAATATATATTGTATGCTGTAGTGGATGTATTTCATTTCAACCTTTTTCCATCGGCCAATGACTCCTAAGCGACTCACACAATAATTTTAAGTTGTATATAAATAATAATATTTAGGAAAAATTTAATTTTAATAGAATGTAATTTTAATAATAAAATACAGACATCTACATATTTAACTGTACATATCATTTGTCTATAACATGTCCATATCTTTAAATATCAATAAAAAACTGAAACATAATCTTTGAATTTTTTTCAGAAACTATTAAAGAAAATACAAAAAAAAAATTGGCAATGGATCGATACTCTGAAAACCTACTGTTCATAATTTTATGAGAGAACACATATCCAAAATTTTGACCATCGCTGTAAAATTTTTAGGATGACATTTTTTAAGTTGATTTTTTAAGAATTTCGAAATACGAGAAAGTGAATATATAAAATTTAGTATTAACGAAAAAATATTCAACATTTGTGAATTTTTTTTTAACTCCCAAAGGTCAAAGTGTGGTCTTTATAGGAAGATTCGGTGGAAGAGCTTCAAGTACATGAACGTGAGCTAAACAAGACAATTTGACAAGGACTTTCAATTCCATTTGCAAGAAATATCTTTAAAAAAATAGTAAGTGGTCACAAATACCAAAATGAAACAAAGGACCTTAAAGGCCAACAGCTTGGACTTACTGAAAATATCGATTTCATAGATTTAAAAATAGAGATGATTATTTCAAGAGCATTCAAGGCCATAATCGAGGGTCATTTAGGATTTTTTTGATTATCGGTTATCGTGGAAGTCTGTAAGGCATTCCGCTCTTTTTTAATTCTTTGAGTCCTTAGGCGTTGATCTTTAAGTAAGATATTTTCAATGACTTTTAGAGCCATAATCTTCGTCATTTTCAAATGAGTTCTTCAAGGACCGGTGATTGCTTTGGTGCGAATCTTTAAACAAGACTTCTTAAACACCTTTGTAGAAATGCTTTAATAGACCTTTGAGGCCAGTCCGATTTAATATTTTGAGCATTTAAAAAGAGAGAGTTTTTACGGGGAGATTTAAAAAAAGATTTTAAGGGTCTCGGGCTTATACTATTTATAGCTTTCAAGGTCCTTGATCATGATTATTTTGAAAGTTTTTAGAAATAATGGCTTTGAGGGTCATACACGTAGCCCATTTAGGAAGGACTTTAGGAACTTAGCGGTGAAAATTAAAAAAAAGATTTTGAGGCCCTTCAGCTTGAACTTATTAAAATGAATTTAGGATTCTTGAGCCTGTAAATGAGCTGAATTAAGAAATCTTTACAGGCAAGCTGAAGGCCAGGAAATCTTTATAGATAAGCTGAAGGCCAGGGTGCAGAGTGCAGGAGCTTTCATAGACGGTCATTGTCCACGAGCTGAAGGCCAGGGAGTCTTCACAAACGAACGGGGGTTTTCATAGACATGCTGAAGCCCAGGGAGTCTTCATAGATGATATGGAGGCTAGGGAGTCTGGATGAGTGGTAGTCAGTATAGACGAGCTGAAGGGGTCTCTTTAGACGAGCTGAAGCCCAGGGAGTCTGTATAGACGGGCTGGAGTGCCAGGGAACCTTCATAAACGGGCTAGTGGCCAGAGGGTTATTGTCGACAAGCTGGAGGCCAGAAGGTCTTTATAGAGGGTCTTGTAACGAAGGGAGTATTCATGAGGAGCTGAAGGCCAGGGAGACTTCACAAAAGGACTGGAGTTTTCATAGACAAGCTGAAGCCCAGGGAGTCTTCATACATGATCTGGAGGACAGGGAGTCTGAATGCGGTGGAATCTTTATAGACGAGCTGAGGGCAAGGAAGTCTTCTTAGACGAGCTGAAGGCCAGGGAGTCTTTGTAGACGAGCTGGAAGCCACGTATTCTTTATAGATGAGCTGAAAGGGAGTCTTTATAGCCGAGGGTGTTTTTAGACGATATGAAGGCCAGGGAGTCTTTTTAGACGAACTGGAGTGCGAGGGAGCCTTCATAAACGGGCGGGAGGTCAGAGGGCCATTGTCGACGAGCTGGAGGCCAGAAGGTCTTTATAGACGGTCTTGTAACCATTAATTTAAATTGTAACCTTTATAGAGGGAATTCATAATTATTCTATTGACCAGAGGGTCTTCATAAATGATCTGATGGCCTTTGGGCCCTTAAAGACGAACTGGTACGAAAAAAGGATACACAAACTGAAGCAGGGAGTCCTTACTGACAACCTGAGCCAGGGAGTCATAATTGATATTCAGAGGTAAGGAGCTGAATTAAAAAGGGAGTCTTTATAGATGACCTGGAGCCTAGAAGATCTTTATAGATGTTCTTGTAGTCAGGGGGTCTTCTTAGATGATATGGTGGGCCATTGGGTCCTAACAGACGAACTGATACGAATTGACGGTACATAAACTTAAGCTGGAAGTCCTTATTGACAAACTGAGATATTATTGATATCATGTGATAGGAGGCTGAATTAGAAACTCCTGATTAGAGTTTTTAAACAGGATGCAGATCCGTTAACGCTAAGGGAATATTTACGAGCGACTGGAAGCTGGAGAAAAGACTATCTATCCTATCTGTCTGAAGCGATTTTTCAAAACATCCCGGATAGGCGTTCTTATATAGTCAACTTAAAAAAGGTCTCCAAATAGAAGCCTTGAAGAAAATAATTGCAAGAAGAACTAAAAAATCATTTTTATGGAAGGATTCTTTTATTACTGAAATAAACCAAGACGAATAATGTTTCGAACTGGGCGTTATTAAAGGGTGTTCGTAAAAACTAGCTGAAAGTCACCAAATGATAATCATCTTTGTTACTGAGGGGCTTAGCGACATTCCAGCAATAGTTTTTGAGAAAAATATGTTTTTTAATCGCAAGTTTTAATAAATACTTGCGGAATTCAAAAAGCTCTATCATAAAATAATTCATTCAATCATTAAAGTAAATGCCATGATTTTCACAATTAAATCCTAAAGTTCAGTGCGGTGATGGGTATTTTTTCAAATATTTTTTTTTTCTATATTTTTTTATAAATATTTTTCTTTTAGAATTTTAAAAATAAGATGTACCTTTAATTTTAACATATTTTATTTTATACACCCATTGTATATATGGTTTTAAAAAATAAAACAAACATTTTTTCACATCAAATGTAGTAGTAAATCAACATATGAAATATAAAACCAAAGCTCTTTAGCCTGTTAAGTGATAATTGACCTTTCGTTTTGAAAATAAATATCTTTAAGAAATGTTATTCATATTTAATTTTCTCATAATCTAGAATGTACTTGAACGAGAAATAAACAAAAAATACTGGATTATAAACGGATATAATTAAAGATGAATTGATTAGTATTAAATATAAATGTTAAACAATAACTGATAATGATAAAACTATTTTAATTAATAAAATTAAGATAAAACAAATGACAAAAGGGAGATTAAAAACTAAAAACAAATATAAATAAAAGATATTTGAAAAAGTTATTAAATGTGTTCTAATTAATGTTGAAGATACTAAGGTAAGTGGATGGGTAGTAGCGAATGTTGGATGTGATTCTAAGATATTGATTTTTTGCTAAACGTAAAATTCTTCGCAAAGGAAATATTTTAAATATTGCGTTTAAATATTGTGCTTTTGTGATTTTATGGCAAAAAAAAATACATTTTGTTGGCAACATCCTGAATTTTGGTACATCCAACCAAATTCAGTCTAGAAGCAAGTACAGCACATACAGCCCGACTTTTGACATTTCTTTGCCGGTTTATTCCTAAAAAAAGTTTTAAAAAATGTGGTTGACGTCCAGAAAGATCATGTTAAAATAATTTTGATATTCACAATATTGGGGGCGTTTTTTGCCAAATTTTAAAAGATTCAATGTCCTGGGCCGGGACGTTATTGAATTTATTAAAAAAAATCTATCAGGAAACATAAAAAAATGTATCAAAAATCATGGTTCCTGGCCAGGAAGTTCATAATTTTTCTCTTGGATAAAGTTTGACAAAGATATTACGATGCCTAAAAATAGACAAGACCTGTTCATGTTATTGAGATTTGTGATTATTTAAAAAAAAAAGTATAAACAAAATAGAACAGAATAAAAATGGGTTCTGTGTCTTTTCTCGTTAGACTTGAACTCCAGGCTAAATAGTGTAGTGATCCAGTAAAAATTGTTATGGGAGTATTATAAGTTTGATTGGGCCAGGAATTATGTAACACTTCGAAATATTGATCCCCGACATATTATGTATGAATCTTCATAACTCACTGAGATAAGCCGATCCAAGCTTTGTGTGTCCGTTCAACTGTCCATGTTAATTTGTAATCATGCCACAGGTCGCATTTATGAATATTAATGGGTTGAAATGGACCAAAAACAGAAAAAATCCTGATATTGCAGTTACTCTAGAGGTCACAATTAAAGACCAATCGATCAATTTTTGCATGCGGCTGGAGTTTAAGAATGGACAGAAGCCTACCAATCTCTATGGTCATTGAATAATTTTTAGCGGGTGAAATAGACCATAATTAAAACAATGTAAACAAATACGAACATTTCCATTGAGCCGTGAATATTTTTTTAATTCCAGCGAAATCACAAATACTCGAAAAAGTCACTTATAATAAAAATTATAAATCTTATAAAATGTGAAAAAGAGTCCGAATCTCTTCCAATTACGCGGATCTGAATATTTTTATCAACAGAAGATTTGGCGTAAAGATTGAATATATCGGACCACTCTGTCAAGTACCTCCCCCACAAGGGGTACAAATTTATAACAAATTATGATGATATCATAAAACGCGTAGTGAGCATCTGATTCTATTAAAATTTCAAACTTCCTTACATTTTTACTAAAACAAGATCTGGTGTAAAGATGGTATACCGGACCACTCGTTCTGGTACCTCCCCAATAACGAGTCAAA